GAGCCTGAGGGCCTGAGTAACAGCTCACCTCCCCGCTGACGAGGCGGCTGCAGATATCAGATTAGAGGGAGGTGTGCGAGGCCGGTGGTCCCATTCTGCCGCCGCTGCTGCTGTACATCCTGTGTGCAGTGTGTGTGTGTGTGCAATATGTGTGTGTGTGTGTTTGACACCTGCACCAACTTCCTCTGCAGGATCGTCAGGTTTCCGTGGCAGATGGGCGAGGAGAAGGTTCGACGCGTCTTCCGGGAAGCGCTGCAAATCTGGAGTGACGTCACCCCGCTCACCTTCACGGAGATCCACAGCGGGAAGGCCGACATCCGCATCGACTTCACCAGGTGAGAGGACAAAAAGAAGTGGAAATGAAAAGGAGCCTGAACTTAACAGGACGTAGAGAAAACATTGATGAGATGCTCAAACAGGATCTATTTCATAAAAGTACTAATAGTTATTATAAAATTAAAGTCAAAGTATGAAACACCTTCACTTACCTAGTATGAAATTGGTATCATCACTGTTTTCATAAACCTACGATACAGAGCGACATGTTTATGATTTGATATCATCTCAGTCTCCTGCTCTCAGCTCTTGTTTCTTTTTCTCGCTGACGATGAACAGACGTGCTTCTTTCTTTTTGTGGATTTCTCTCGTCTGTAGTCGCCACAAACGACCACGAGCTTCTCCGTCACCTGAGGCAAACACAGTGGAGTGTTTTTAATCGACTGTGTTTATGAGCTGGCAGAATCAGATTGGATCAAATCTGATTTGGACAAAGATCTTTGCCCCAAAGATACAAACAAGAGATAGTCGAGCAACAAAGAGCAGAAAACAAACTCCACAGTTTCATCCGAGTCGTCTTTGAAATGATATAATTGTCTTTTATGTTGCCTGGTTTGTTTGTTCCTGCAGCGATTTCGTGATTTTGATTTGTGCTTCATTGTTCGTTGTGTCACAGCAGCCTTTGTTTGCCCTCCAGCAGCAAGACTCTAAAATATGACTAAAAAAGAAATGATCATCTTTGAGTTTTCAGTTGTTGATTGGTCAAAACAAGTTATTAAATATTTCAACTTCAGTTCAGGTTTTTTTACACATTGAAAATGTTTTAAATGTTTGATTTCAAACCTGAGCGTTTGTTTTACGAACTTGTAGGTACTGGCACGGAGACAACCTTCCGTTTGACGGCCCGGGTGGGATCCTCGCTCACGCTTTCTTCCCCAGAACACACCGACAGGGGGACGTTCACTTCGACTATGATGAGTCCTGGACGCTTGGGAACCACATGGGTGAGTGAGACACTGACAAAATACAGACATTTCTTTTTACTTTAATGCTTCTGGTAGAACAGACAGAATAAAAACGCATCCATCAAATTCTAAAATCTCCAAACCCTGAAGTGATTTTTAAATATTTTCGTGAAGATGTTTCTCTCGCTGCATCATCTCAGGCCGCTACAAGAACTTTCACACAGTGTTTGAAGCAGCTGAGGTTTGTCTGTCTCCTCTGCTGCAGGCACAGACCTTCTGCAGGTCGCTGCCCATGAGTTTGGGCACGTCCTGGGCCTGCAGCACTCCCGCGAACCAGGAGCCATCATGTCCGCATACTACACCTTCTCCTACCCGCTGAGGCTGAGCGAGGACGACAAGCAGGGCATCCAGTATCTGTACGGAACTCACCCACAAGTCCTGCCCTCGCCGCCTCCGCCGCCGCCGCCGCCGCCCCCACCTCCGTCCAACCCAGAGACCAACGAGATCCTCACTGATGTGAGTTTAACTGATGAAGGTTTAAAGGAAACTAAGGACAGGATGTGGTTTATCGTAGGAAAATACATGATACATGTGAGATCGATTCATTTTCATGGGATTCACTGACAAGGGGTGAAATATAGAAACCATCTGTCTCTGTTCGAATGTCTATGAAACTTCTCCGCATCGTAACAAAGTGTATTTCTGAACCGTGGATGATAAACGAGGGTCAAAGATTAGAGTCAGCGAAGACCGGCTCCGCTTCAGATCAGCTTCTCCTGTAAAACTTGCAACTGAGAGTTTTTACACTAAAATAAATCCCTGAAATTCTTTGTGATGGTTTTGCGGTGAAAGTCGTCTTCAGCTGGAATTCAAGCACAAAACTCTGCTCTGATTTACCTTCGGGCAGTAAAACGCCTCTTTATCACTTCATCTCGCTGCAGTAAAAATCCCTGTCGTTGGAAACACTGCGTTTGTGTGCGTGGCTTCATGTGGAGAGGAATGAATGATGTGTCTCCTCTGCAGCCCGACGCCTGCCAGACGGACTTTGATGCCGTGTCAATGATCCGAGGGGAGCTGTTCTTCTTTAAGTCGGGCTACGTGTGGCGGATCAGGGACGGGCATCTGGAGAGCGGTTACCCGGCGCTGGCGTCCCGTCACTGGAGGGGGATTCCCGACAACATCGACGCAGCCTTTGAAGACAAGTCAGGGAATATTTGGTTCTTTCAAGGTGAGCTTGAGCTGCTGTCGTGTGGTTTGAGATTTCATGTGAGGACACGGAGAAGTAGCAGAAAGTGGGATATGGGTTCAGGAAAGTTTTAAGATGAGGTGTTAAAATGTTTTCATTAGTGAGAATTCGTTTAAATGTCTCGTGGTCTCACGGATCGACCTTGTTCTTTGAGGGATTTGCCAAGATTTAATATTCATTTGTCTGAGTCACAAGTTAACAGCTCATTAAACCAGGTGACATGAGGTTAATGCCCCGTGATGAAATTACACCGATTTGATGAATATAAATAAATAAGGATTAATCAAATGTTGACAGACACGAGGATTATTGGATGAAGCTGCACACACTGATAATAGATAAATATAAAAGACTGTTTATTGCAACGCACTGCAAACAGAGACTTACTGTATTATTATGATGTGACGATGGACGGTTGAGGGATCAAACCTGTGACTGTTTGGTTCGGTGTCATCTTTGTCCGCTGAGCTGCTCTGACGCTGCCGCTGGACAGACTGAAACAAACCACGAGTGGGGGTCAGGTCACCGAGGTTTCACGTCACATGTCTTCAGCTCCAACAGAATAAAATCTTTTAGTGACAGACAGAAAAAGACATTTACCAACAAGTGTCTTCGGTGTTTGTCCTTCCGCAGGTGAGAACTACTGGGTGTTCGATGCCGAGATGCAGATCAGAGGGCCGGAGTCCATCCGCAGCTTGGGTCTGTCGGTGTCCGGGATCCAGGCGGCGCTGCGCTGGGGCCACGACTCCAACTACAACACCTACTTCTTCAAGTCAGGCAGCTACTGGAGGTTCAGCCCCCGAGAGAACCGGGTGGAGTCCGTCTACCCGCGCAGCATGCAGGAGTGGAGCGGCATCCCCGACGACGTGGACGCAGCTTTCAGGGACGTCTACGGTAAGATCCAAAAAACAAGAGAGCAAAGTTAAAAGCTTATCTAGGTTGTTGAGACTGATTGTTCAACAGACCGAGACTTGAAATCCTCTGTGGCGTGTTTTTCAGGCTACGCTCACTTCATCCGAGGACGACAGTACTGGAAGTTTGATCCTGTCGGTATGAACTCTTTGGAGGGCTACCCTCGCTACGTCGGCATGGATTTTTTCGGCTGCAGAAACGCGTGAGTCTGTAACGTCGAGAGAATCACACGATGTTTTTTTTTTTGTTTTTTTCTTTTCGACAATGAAGAGGAGTTTTCGGAACAAAGACTTTTTGTATGTTCGGATTCAAGGGGGTGAGACGACCTCCTTTAAATCTGTTTATGCTTTACTCCATTTATTGATTCTCAGATCGACTTCAGCTTCTTCTCAGGAAAACCAAGCGATGTTTCCTCAGACTTGGCACCTCCTGTGCAGCTATACTCATATTTATTTTGCACATTTTGTCACCAGCCGCCTGAGACCTGGGCCCTGTATTAACGATACCGATGTGAACTGTTCTCACCTCCTGTCTTTGAGCCTGATGATGAGATTTTGGTTCACAGACAGAACAGACTCTTATTCCCCCGGTTTCCTTTTTAAGAGACTTTCTGATTCTCTTGTGTTTGAAGAGTGGCATTAAACAGGTAGACGTGCATGTGACTTTAAATCCCGCTCTTTTAGAGATTTTCTATCCCTCACTCACCGTGAATCAGTCACGTTGAAGGTGTGATGGACTCACTCTCACCTTGTGTCGAGTCACCGATGCTCACGCTTCATATTTGAACCAGATGTCCAGAAATCCTGCAAGAAAAGGGGAAAATTCAAATTAACGTTTGGTGCGTTGAGATAAAGTCAGATGCCGTTGAATCTGTACAGAGGAAGAGGAGGGATCATCAGGTTATTATGTGGAAACTGTGATGGAAACATGATATTTCTGTTTAACGTATCACGTCAGGTTACAGGTTTTACATTTCTCATAGCTCCAGTCACGCGCTTCGTGCTCAGAACATCGCAATTCATTCACCGTCACTGTTTTCAAACCTGCACTGAGTCTGAACATTTTCCTGAAAATTTTCCAGAGAGGTTGTAAGTGAGAACGTAAAAGTCTCGGGACCCAAAAGAGTGAGAGAGAGGGTCTGGATGGTTCTGGTCTCTGATGAAGACCTGAAAACTTTCACTGACCCGGGGTCAGTTGCTTCTCTCGGTTGTTGTGACTCCGTCAGAAAACATCTAAATCTAAAGTTTCCTTCTTCTCCTTCCTGAACAAAATATTATTTTTCCAGTTCAGTTTCCACATGGGAAGAAAATGTGAAAATATAAGTAAGCGTCACTCTTCCGACACAATGCAGTGAGTCATCATCGCTTATCAGTCTGCAGGCCTGTGCTGCAGGAAAAGCTCCAGGGCGCCACCTAGAGTGCACCTCTGTCCTCCTGCAGGAGGAGACCGTGTGTCCTCGTGTTGTTACGAATCTCTCTCATCCTGGATGAAGTCTTTTCTTCTCTGTCACACGGTGCTGTCTCCAGGTCGGTCAGCAGAACACATTCAGGGACATTCAGTGGTTCTCCGCCGGCTCAGTCGCTCAGCAGCAGACTTTAGCTTCGACCCTGATCTGTCTCAGGCTCTTTTACCGAATCAAAACACAAAAAGACACATTTTATTTTTATTTTTTATTTTTTTACGAACTGCAATCTGTGCATGTCTCATTTTTTCCGACTAGAAGTTCATATTCCAAAGATTTTCAGTTCATTGTCATCATGAAAAATCGAATCTTCAAGTTAGAGTAAAACTAATATTTGATATTTTGCTCCCAAAAAACATTTAAATGTCCAAAATATGAGTTTTTAAGAGTTAATTTACCACCGTCCATAATTTATTTTTAATGTTTCGAGTCTGTATAGTTTCTCTTTTTGCAGGAAACTTGAGTTTAGTACTAAAAGGTCATTGAGATTAAAATCATCCAGAATTATTATTTGTTTTTACATAAACTGAAAATATAATTTCCTATTTCGTTTTCCCAACTCTTCAGATTTACCTGATGGACTAAATGAAGTAAAGTAGTGAAAACTTCATAACTTTAAATATGGAGGAACTTCAGAATTCAGGACTTTTACCAGAATAAAACACCGTTTTTCCTCCAGCTCTGCTGCAGAGTTGAAGGATCTGGACGTGACGACCTCTCCGTGCGTCCAGACCCGCGGGCTGAGAACCACTGTTCCTGCTGATGGGACTTTTCCTCCTCCGTCACAGACAGAGGAGTGATACTTCTGTCTGTGACGGCTGCTGACGGGACTTTTCCTTGAAGTGTGAAGTGTCACTTCATCACGTTTGTTTTTCAGTGCAGGACACTGAGTCGTTAAAGTTTCAGTCATTACAGACGTTGTTGTTTGAATCATTTCCTCAACTCATTTCAAGTGTTAACTCTTTTACTGCTTTGAAAAAATATTTATACGCAATCGACTTAGCAAATGTTTCTTGTACATACGTGTCCTCGATTATTACGTCTTCTGATATGTAGCAGTTAACTTGTACATTGAAATGTATGAACTGCATATTGTCTCTTTCTAATAAAATCATAACCTTTTTACCAAACTCTGCCTGTGGTGAGAAATCAATTCACCACAGAACAAGCTGCAAAGTTTAAATACACACACAACGTATATATTTGTATTATATTTTAACTTTATCAAAAGGTGATTTATTGAATTTGGAAACGTCAGATTTCGAACATTTGAACAATTTGAACATTTGATTAAATTTAACTTAACTCATTAATTTCTATCATCATCTATCAGGATCGCTAATTTGCAAATCAAACAAATATAAAGAAATAAATATTTATAATTATTCATTTATAAGCTTCTAATTTTTGTTGGGAACTTTTTTTTTAACACATGAAAATATCTGATGTCAGAAAGTAAATTTAAAAATACGCGATTTGTCTGCATGTGTGTTTCATCATTGTTTTGAAAGTGAAGCGTCGACAGTGTGCGGGTGTGGATGGTGTTAATTGATCGGTGGATCTGATTGGCTGGTGCTGGGGCAGTGTGGGGGGGTGGGGGGGGGGGGGGGGGCGGTGGGGGGGGGGGGGGGGGGTGGGGGGGGGGGGGGGGGGGGGGTGCTGTTGATTCACTGATGGTTTATCCTGAGCGACAGTGAAGCAGCAGCAGCAGCAGAGATGGCTCACAGCTTCACTCAGGAGTATTTTCAGATCCCTGTGGTGACTCGAGCGTACACGACCGCCTGCGTCCTCACCACTGCTGCCGTGGTAAGAAACAACAACAACAACAACAACAACAACAACAACTCAGGGGATCTGAAACTCTTAACTTTGAATAAGTTCACTTGTCAGGTGAAAGTAGCGTCAATTCATGAATAAAAGAAGATTTAATTTGAAGAGTCAGTTAATGGATAAAAGGCGAAAGCATCTGATGAAGTGCATCTTTTAATGGAAGTGAAGAACTTAAGAAGGAGCTGAAGCGACGAGGTTCAGGATTTAAATCCCTCAAAGCGATGAACGGAGTTCAGGTGTAAAAAATAAATAAGTTATGAGTTAAAGTGGAAGAACTGGAAACATTTGTGACGTGAGAACAGAGTTAATTCAGATTTCTAGAGGTGAAAGTTTGAATCATAGAGATTAAACCGTTTGGAAGCTGAAGTGTCGACTGATGTTTGAGCAACAAACTCACTGAAGAGATTCCAATAAACACAACTCAAGTTTCATCTGAGGTCGAAATAATGAAAATACTTGAAATTCCACATCTGGCATCAAAAACCTACAAGATAATGACGACCAACGTGTCTCGCTGTGTTTTTCTTTCAGCAACTTGATGTCATCACCCCCTTTCAGCTCTACTTTAACCCCGACCTCATCATCAGGAGATATCAGGTGACATTTATCCACAACTTCAATCAACGTAAAAACAATCTGGAATTATGTTTCTTGTTTTGTTTTGTCCGAAGAAGGAACAAGAATCCCGGAGCGTCTGGGGTATTTTGTGGAAACCTGGACAACCCGTGTTTTTCATCGTCTAATATCGCTGCACTCGATGCTTGTGTGTATTTTGTATGTTCTGTTGTATTTTGATTATTATATTGAAAAAAGAACATTTCATTATTTTTACACTGTTCTTGTCTCCGTCTCTCAGATATGGCGACTGATAACCAGCTTCCTGTTCTTTGGTTCTCTTGGATTCAGTTTCTTGTTCAACATCATCTTTCTGTATCTTTTTTTGATCAGCAGGTAAAAATGTGTGTTTATGTATAAAATCTCTTCTACAAACCACCTGCAGCAGAGACCTTGACCTCAGGAAGTTATCGATACTGTCGGATGCTGGAGGAAGGTTGTTTCCGGGGCAGGACGGCAGATTTTGTTTTCATGTTCCTGTTTGGAGGAGTCGTGATGACTGTATCCTTTAAGAGGCTTCAAACTAAACAACGCAAAAATAAAGTCATGGCTTTAGTTTGTTTACAGTTTGGGAACAGGGAAGTTTCACCTCCATCGTTGGGTCAAATAACTCAAATGACAAAAAAAGCATTTTCTCATTCGGATTAGATTCAGTCATTATCTGTGAGAACAGAAGGCAGTTTTAATAAACTGCATGGACAGAAGATGATTATTTACTGTTTCGTTGGAAACCGTCATCACCATAGTTTCTTCTTCAACAGTGAAATGAGCTCATCCTGTGTGATGTTATGTGAAATCTTTATTCGTCGTCCTGTCAGATAAACGGAGCGGACTAGAAAAGTCCTGTTCTTAAGTAAATGTCCTTTTTTTCGATTTTACTGTTGAATGTTTTTTAAATGTTAATTCCAAATCGAATCTGACAGATAAATCCAGAGTCTAATCATCTGCACGGTGAGAAACCACAAGATTATAATGTGTTGTTAAATTAAAACGTTCAGTCCCTGAACGTTCTGAGTCGACACTAAAGGCGACAAGCCGGATGATAAACACTGAATCTTTAACTTCACCTTTTACTATGCTCCTGTTTACTGAGGAGTATTTGTTTCTTTGTCTAAATTAGGACGTCCACTGTCTAAAAACATGTAATGGACACGAGCCTGTGTGGTTTTGATGATGCTCAGCAGTTTGTAGCCAGAAGCTCTCGTCCACATTCCAGGGTAATGATACGGTCCTGGCTCTGTTTACTGCAGACGTCCCTCTGGGCTGTTGTGAAACTGTCAGCGTGCAGATTTATGGTTTTCTCTGGAGCCGCAGGTTTAATGCAGGTATATGACGACTGATTCTACTGTAATTTCAGGGGAGTACAGTGTTGACTGTGTTTCAGGATGGTAACACGCTTCGCTGACATTAGAGGAATGTTGTGGGGGTTGGGTTTTATTGTGAAGGGTTCAGCGTTCAGTAAATAATAACATCAGGTCTGAGAAAATGTTTTGGAAAAACTTCACGCGTATAATTATTTAAGGAGGAAGTTTCAGAATCTAGTCAAGAAAATACTTGAGTTTTAGGAAACTGCCTCATGTCATCAAATACTGAGCGAACAGTACTGTACTTAACATGTTAGTGCAAAGTTAATTATTGTTTGGAGGCAGAAACATGTGTGGAAACTCGTCCCTGTCAGGAAAATAAAAAACTACAAATAGTCCTCACATGTCCCCATTAGTCGAGATACAATTGAAATTATAAGACAAGTTGAATTTTGTTTTTTTATAGTCAAATAAATCAAATTAATATTATTTATATTATTTATATTTAAACTTTTGATAATGTTAATTATTCTTATCCTGACAGGAACGGGCTTCCGTACATATGAGATCAGAAACGTTAGACTACTTCAAACTGACCCCAGTTCCCAGAAACTAAACTTCTTGTATTTGAAAATATGAAAAAGTTCATCGGGTCGCTCGAACAAACAAGAGCAGCTTTTTCTCCTGGGAAACATTTGTCAAACTGAAATTTCCATCTCGACTCAGATGTTGATTTCAGTGATTTCTCCATGAAACAAAATCAAGTGATGAGCTGAATTTAACCTGAAGCTCCGCAGCTGTTCGGTCTGTTCGCCAACGTCTTCTTCCTGGGCCAGGCCTTCATCATCATGCTCGTGTACGTGTGGAGCAGAAGACATCCACTCATACGCATGAACTTCTTCGGCCTCCTCAACTTTCAGGCCCCGTTTCTCCCCTGGGTGCTCATGGGATTTTCGCTGCTGCTCGGAAACTCCATTGTGGTCGACCTCCTGGGTGCGGTATTACACACTTCACCAAAAACCGACCACATCTGAGCAGACAGTTACCAGACCTGGCCGCGTTAATCTTAGAGGGCTGCAGTGCACTATGGGAAGAAATACGAATTTTCAGAATCTGCAGTTCAAATCAAATAATGTGTTCAATTTAAAGTTTGTAAAACTTATGTAAGGACCGTGTGAGTTTCATCGGATGTTCCTTCCCTCCTCAGGCATCAGCGTCGGCCACATGTATTACTTCCTGGAAGACGTGTTTCCAAACCAGCCGGGAGGAAAGAAGCTGCTGACGACACCAGACCTTCTGTAAGAACCAGAATTCATTTCTCCGGAGTCCGACACAACTTTTGAAAATACAGCTCCAAAAAAATTAATTCAGCAGAAGGCAAGTCAGGATTTTCTGGGAAAACTTCTCCGACTCAGAGGAGGTCGAACTCTAAGACCTAAAAAAAACATGATCTGTGGGGACCATATCAAAGTCTGTGCTTCTATCCTGGGAGGGTGGCCGGGGTTCTGACATGAGGCGAGACGTTGGGTTTACACGCTGGACACGTTAGGTTTGAACCCAGAACGTCTGTGGATTAGGGTTAGAAGGGTTTTGGGTGATATTTTTTGATAAAAACTAAGTTAAATCGCAGCAAACATATGTCCTGACAATGTTTGTCAGTTGTTACTTCAGATAGATCATTTATTTATTATTTTAATTTATAAATGCTTATGTAACTTTTTGTCTCCACTACCTGCTCTTGTTCTCTCCTTACAGGCGAGTCATGTTTGACGAGCCGGAGGAGGAAGACCACCACCCCCTCCACGACCAGCAGCGGGACGAGGAGCCGCACCACTAAAAACTGAGACCACGGAAATCAACGGAAATCCACGAAACGAGCTGGTGGATGCGTAAGCAAGAGAGTCACAAGATGAGGATTTACACCGAGTCCGGCGCCTTTTGTAAAAACAACGAAGCAGAAGGATGAAACTAAATCATGAATCATTTTGTCTTTTCTTTACAAATCTAAATTCCGAAAGGATTTTGGGATTCGATGGCACCACATGTTAAAACTAGTTGAACTTGTACTTTGAGGGCTGAGAGGACTGAACCGTGACCCCTCTGCTGCTGGTTCACACAAACTGCCGACGGCCTGAAATCCCATCAGGCCCGTCTGCACACTCTGCACTTTCACCCTGTTGCCTTTGTGGGTCCGACGCCGGGGACAAAATGGAAACTGCTTAGCACAACAACACGCAAACAAGTACCTGTGGGACCCCGACAACAAAACACACAACTCCATCCTCATCGATAAATATGAGTCACTGCTGAGTTTGGACTGTTCGACGTTATGAAGAAACCAGGTTCATCATGTCAGGATGGAAAATCATCTACAGGAACATTTACAGTGCCATAAAAACCCCTCAGTACAAACTGGCCTTCAAATGAAAACTAATAAATAAAAATGTTCATATTTTTGGGCTGTTTGCAGGCTGTATTTTCTCAATCTCAACTTGCAGCTCTTCTTGAACAGGTTTACCTTCTGTCAAGTTCACGATAAATGGATTAAATATACAGGGAGCTTTTCTCCACGACCACTGACAGCTCACACACACATTCAAAGCACTGGCTTTACGTTGCCCATCGTCCATCACTCACAGGAGTCTGGAGGACGCCGGTAATCGAAACCAACCGAACAGACTGTAAATACGCTTCCTCCTTCTACCCAGAAATGACACCAAAATGTACGAACGCTACCGTCTTGTGCCGATGACGTAATTTGGAGCTAGTGTCTTGGACCTGCTCTTCGTTATGCTGCTGTAGGTGTAGAATGTCGGGGGACACATGACACATGGAGCTTCTCTTTCCTCTTCTCCCTCCTTATCACATTAAGGAGAGAGAAGAGGATTGTCTCTGAAGAAGTGGTCACCAGTTAGTTTAATTTTATTGGATTTGGCTGCAAAGCTGTTTACCCCTGAGACTCCCAAAGTGTTTTGTGGACTCAAACACTTCACCCACCCCTCCATCGGCATAGTGGTGAGTAGATGATGAGTGAATATTCATTTTTTCGGTAACGCCATCTACAACACAGGAGGTAGCATCAATACGAGAGAGATAAAAGACTTCAGAGTCAAGGATAGAAGAACTTTGACTGGTCTGATGTGACTCAGTTTTAAGAAAAACAGTCGAAGGTGGTAAAACATCGTGAGTTTCAGTGAAAGCTCAACCTTTTTCTTAAAGGATGGATGTTGATTCTTATTGTGGGGACAGTATCAAGAGTAGAGTGAATACGCCATTTGCAGCAATAGATGTTACAGCATTTGACACGTATGACTACGGCAGGACAGAAATAGCTGCTTAAGGCCGACATCTCTAAAGAGGAGCTCAATGGAGGAAAGGGACCGTCCATGAGCTTCTATGTGGTGATGTCTTTACATGAAAATGTAATCATTGTTTTGTTTGTGTAAATTGTTTGTGATTGTTCCATCGCTGATTCCTGATTCCTTAGTTCAGACTTATTTCTTTAAAATACAAGTGATGATCCATTGTTCTGTGTCTCACGCTGTAGGGACGAGCCGAGGGCAGCAGATGTGCTTGAGAAGAAAAGAGCAGCGTTCTTACTGAAGAAGAAAAAAGAGGAGAAGTCTCGACTCCGTAAGCAACAGCTTGAAGCAGAATCTGAGCTGAAACGAGAAGAAGCAAGGATTCAAATGTTCTACCAAAAAGATGCTGACAAGCAGGTGTTTGATTTCTACATCAGACAGAAGGCGGAGAAGGATCTCCTGCGTGAAGAAGAGGAGAAGAGGAGGCAGCAGGAGATGTTTCAGGAGCAGGGACTTGAGAAGCACAGAAGCACTGTCAGAAGTCTGTGTTCAGAGAGAACTCGTCCAGAGACACTTTCTCCAACTTCTCTTCTACAGGTAAAACACGATACATCTTCAGTTTGACATTTAGATGAAGCTCCATTTTCATTTTCTATTTTACAGTGTCAACGAGCCCCAGAGGAACCAGGTCCTTCAGCTGCTGACTTACTCAAGTTCATTTCATGAAATGTAAGAAAGAATGTTTGATCGATTAGTTTATCTACAAAATAATCATCAACAGTTGTACCCCTGTATCATATGATTCCCGTTAATAATAACTGTTTTCTAAAACGCTTTGTTTACCAGGATTTGGAGAAGTGTGAGCAAGAGCATCAGCGAGAAGATGATTGACAAAGCTGTACAGGTAGAGCTCCGAGCAGAAGCAGTTCAACGCCATCAGTGCAAAGACTGTGTCAGTGACCGTGGACGGCCTCACCATCCACAACCACCTGTGGCACGCCAAGAGAAGGAATAATAACTAGGGCTGCGAGCAGCACTGAGCGGACTACGGTCCACGTGCAGACCACATGGTGACAAGGAAATAAATCCCATATCTTGTAAATGATGGTTGAGAAACCTTCTGCATTTCTTACAGGTACAAAAAATAAATCTTTTGAATTTGAATTTCCTTTTTGGTGAAAATATATTTGGTGAAGAACGTATCATCTAAATGCTGCCACCTAGTGACATAAACCATATTCTTGCTTCAGTCAACACAACATAAACTCTCACGGCTCATGTTCACTGTTAAACATGAACTCCAGTTGTCGACACACGTCAGTGAGTTTTCAACACAAACAATGTGAAGAACTGGAGAGAAAGAATTCTCTGAGGAGGAAGCTTCGTCCCTCTGGCCCAGCGTGGTCTAACACTGCCCTCTAGTGACGAAGGCTTACAAATACAGCTCAGTCATTATGGATCAACCTTCACAGGACCGCTGTGGCTCATCGGTTTGAGGAAAAGTCCCAATTCTGACGATGAAGAATAATGAAAGTGTTATAAATATTGTATACTGTAAACCAGCCAGATGCAGCGTGTCAAAGTATAAAACATGTCACTTCCTGTCACCAGGAGTCGGCGCTGTGAAGATGAGCAATATTGAAATGTGGATCTGATCCAGGACTGTGATCGTGTGAATGAGTTTTGAGGCTGATTGTTCAAAACACAGAGGAGTTAAAATAAATCCCTCTTTTACAACAGAACCAGACAGAAGGTCAAGCTTTCAGTTTTTTTTATTTTGTAAGAATTATTAAAATGTACAAAAAGACAACAAGTACAACATAACAATATATTATCTGAGACTGGTTGTTGTTGTGATGTTTCTCCCTCTGGTCAGGGTAAGAGAGTCAGTGGTCAAAGTGAGAGAGCAGCTTCTTCACGCTGAGGGGTCGTGAGGAAAACATGAAGGAGGGATATTTTTTCTACGGGGGGGATTTTGTCCAAGACGACAAAATATCAATAATAACAAGAATAAAAAGCGGCACGTGAACGGCGGACCGAGGAACCGGCCGAGCAGAAAAGACATCCAGCGCGTGATGGAGGGACATCTTTGTTGCTGATGTTGTGAACCGTGACAGAGTCATACCTCAATCAGGCGAGCACCGTTCTTGTAGGGGGGTGGGGGGTGGGGCGGCGACAGCGGCGCAGATGCTGCCTCGTCTACCATGCAGGTGCCGTGTTCGCCAGTCGCCTCATTCGCCTGTGAAGCAGACGAGAGAAGAGTGTCAATAAAACAACAACAGCAAATTATCTACTGCGACAGACAGTCCACGAATCAATGAACAGAAATTATATATATAAGATTTTATTTCTGCAACCAACCTCCATCCAAATGAAGTAAAATGTTAAATGAGATGATTTCATATATTTTCATGAGAGACCAGCGCCGACACTCACCTCGTGTTTCTGTCCTGGTCTCTGATCTTCTTCTCCATCTCTGCGTCTGTCAGGGTCTCCAGCAGGGGGCACCACTGGTCAGCATCGCCTGTGTTTCTTATGGCTATCTCCACTGTGGGGAGGGGGTTCTCACTGAAAACACAAAACAAGAGACCAACACGGTTGAGTTGTCTTTACAACGGCACTGCAACACTGCCTCCTGCTGGACGTTACTTAGTTTACTTTCAGATCTTTTCTAATTTATGTGAAACGTCGAGTCACTTTTTCCACCAAAAGATTCCGACACTGAGTGAATCCAGAAACATACACATTGTGCTTGAAACTTCAAAGACAATGGACATTTTTTTCCTCCGCAGCTATAAGTTAAATATTTTGACACGTAACTGGAACATTCATCTTATGTTGTGAAGATCTGAAAAAGCCGCGTGTGCGTCATGAAAGAAAATCAGGTTCCTGACTTTGCTGATATTTTTACAAACATCTCAGCGGAAATAAAGTGTGAAAACAAAACAAGAGAAGGAAAAACAACACGTGTGATTGTCTTGTTTTGGGAAATTTACGCACAAACATTTGAATGTGCCAAAGAGCCTTGTTGTTTACACCAGCGTGATCCGACAAACATGTTGTTGAGCTGCACCCTGTTTGTAATGAAACACACATTACACATCACTGCTGATTATCATGGCAGCAGTTCTGCAGTGTTCTGGAAAGACCTTTTTATTACAGTCACACGCAGTAAGACAAAGTATTTATGATGTAAATCAACTTCCTGACACTAACCTCTGTGCTGTAATAATATGTACAAAACATAAAGGCAATATAAATCATGCAGTATAGAGCGGAGAGAAGATAACGAGAGAGACAGTGGTTGAACAACACACAGCTGGACTCTGTGCTGAAAGCTTCTGGTGGTTAAACACGACGTGAAAGTTACTGGACATCTTCCATATGAGACAAAGAAAACTGGAAGTAAAGGAACAAACAGAGCAAATGTTTTTAAACCACAGGTTTGTGTGGTTCAGTGTGAGATGGTACCTGAAGGCGTACGTCCTCTGGTGCCAGCTCAGCTGACCGCGGATGCTGTAGGCGATTGTGGTGACGAACTCCCCACCCAAGCCGAGCTCAGAGCAAAGCTTCAGGGCAAACTTCTCCGGAGAGTTCTCCCTCTCAGACATGTCCCACTCAAACTGGTCCACCAGAGAGATGTTCCCTACGTGGATGTTCAGCTGTAGAGCAAAGAAAATGTTTGAGTGTGCATTACGAGCGTGAGTCTGGGGAAAGTGTGGCACGAGAACATTAAAGCACTCGGTGTGAGCTACTGGCAGAGAAGAGCAGCACCTTGATGATGACCCTCTGGTCCGTCTGCTCCTCCAGGATGCTGTCTGTTGGGTAAGACTCAATCTGCTGTCGGATGGCAGAGGCGATGGCCGGGACGAAGGCCAGCGGGTTGAGGTCCAGGTCGTCGCAAAGGATCTCAGCAAACATCTCAGGCGTCATAAGCTTCTCTGAAATGTTCAAAAGCATCGAAAATAAACTCTCTTTATTTCTCTGACTCTTTAATGGCACAAGGATCTTTGCGTTGATGCCAGCGGTTTTCTGAGTTCAGAGAAAATGTTGTTGACACGTTACCGTTCATGTTCCAGGTGAAAGCATCTCTGAGCTTCTGCCCCTC